CACACACACACACACACACACACACACACACACACACACACACACACCTTCATGTAGCCAACATACAACTCCATGCAGGCAATATCTAGGTCCTGGAGTAGAGACTGAATGCTGCCCTGTTTCCGCACCTGCCAGAGGCCTGAGGTGAACCCTTCATGGGAGCCAGGCATAGGCCCTCCCTGCCTAACATCTCATCTCTGGTCAGGCACACACTAAGTCAGAGGGGCCCTCTTCTGAGTAGACACCCCCAGAGCTTGCGGAGGGTCTGGGAGGGTGCCAGGTACCAGGCACCCTCTGGGGATCTTGACAGGTTTGTGCTATAATACAGACGAGAAGGGCACATGGACACATGTAAACACATGTACATTTGAGCATACACATGTGGGCATGGACACACATATGAACACACACATGGCTCAGACACAGAAGCATGAGCATGTGCAGATGGCACAAACATGCAGCAAAGTACACATTACCATGCATACACATGAACACACAGCATAGAATGTAAGCATGGGTGTGTACATACGAGCACATGTAGGCACGGTCCTGCAGGCATGGGCACACGCTGCCTTAGTATCACGTCTGACAAAAACAACTTAAGGGAGAAAGTTTATTCTAGCCTCTGATTCCTAGTTGTAGCCAGAGCGGGAAGTGACAGGCAGCAGGAGCCTGGAGCTGCTGGTGACATTCACAGCCAAGAACGGAGAGGATGACTGCACGCATGCACACCTGCTAGTCACACAGCCCAGGACCCAGACAGGAAATGGTTCCACCCACAGTGGACAGGTCCCCCACAGTTAGTGTAGTGCAGGCATTCCCCCACAGACATGCCCACAGCCCAACCTGCTCCAGAAATCCCGTGACGAGAGCCTCTTCCCAGGGGATTCTAGACTGTCTGAGGTTGGCAGTTAAAACTTATAATAACACACACACACACACACACACACACACACACACATGTGCCTTCATGTAGCCAACATACAACATACATGCCTGTTGAGAACACACAAACACAGAAATACATACGACCACGTGGGGCACGGACACAAGCAAGGGCACACATGCAGACACATATGACAGACATATACGCATGGTCACAGGCACACTCACATGGTCTCGGGCAGGAAAGCATGCACACACGCACTGAGATGAGTTTAAATCTGATCTGACTCTCCAGACTCCTTGTTCTCTGGATGCCCACCATCACACCACCAGGTACGAACACGGCTGCCTGCTCCCCTCTAGGGAGGGGAGGCTGTGCTCTTGCAAGCCAGAGGACCAGCCTTAGTTGAGGCTTTCTTGAATGCCCTGGCACCTGAAGCTTGATTTTGAGAGGTGGAGACGAAGTGCCTATGATGGCAGGCACTCCTGTTTAGGTACAGGGCAGTATGCATGGTTAAAAAAAAAAAAAAGTAAAATAGATTCTTAAGTATAAAGGAGAGAGAATGAATGATGAATACTATCTTGGATTGGCTGAATCCCCAAGCGCTCCTCCCAAGTATTGTCTTCTCTGTCTGTGACTGCACGTGGCCAAACCTAATGCTTTAATGGTTTTTTTATAGGACCACTGGGTGGGGGCTGGAGGCAGAGCAGAATGGAAAGAGCTTAGCAAAAAGAAACTTGGTCCTTAGAGCATGAAGGATGTTAGCACTCAAGGGCAGTCGCCAAGCTGAAGATGTGCTTGGGAAAGAATCCAACCCTAGGAACCGGCAGGTGGAAGGAAACCAGCTTGTTAATTACCTTGTGTTGCTGGGGGTCCTAATGACAGTTTGCTGGAGAATGAATGAAGTGCGCTGACATGACATCTGGCACCCAATGGCCACAGACGAATCCCATCTCCTCAGGAAGAGCCCTGACCTATTTCCATGCCCAGGGAGATGATCTCTGATATAACCTCGAGGGCTGTGGGCTTGCAGCTTCCTGGCTCTTAGGGTATTTAAATTCCCTGGGAGACTCTTTGCTTCTTCCTGTGTGCATTTAAAGTGAAACTCGGGTGTGGGGAAAAGATTTCAACAGCCCTAGTCTGAGAAGCAGGAATGGTGAGCAAGCTGCTAAATGCTTTACTCGCTCGCCTTTTCTGGGTAGGTAACAGTCTTCAGGGCTTGTGCAAATGGTGCTGGCAGCTTGGTTGCAAGTGATTAACTTTCCATTCTAACCTTTCCAATCCCTTAACATCTTATCGCTTGTGAGTTTCTGTTTTTCAGGAAGCTGGCAAGAGGTCTTGATATTTTTGGAAAGCATTTTTAGCGAAAACAGGCTTACGGTCATTTGGGGACTGGTTGCTGTGTTATTGGTCAAAACTGAAAGTAAGGTTAGCAGTTCCCTCCTCTGCTGCCAGGTGGAGAGTGAGGTGGGGATCCTGGGGCCATGAGCAGGCTGCAGGGGTACCACTCCAGGGCTTGCTGGGCTCACCCTGGGGAGTCCACAGGTCCTGCCCCGCCCCGTACGTCCCCTCCGGCTGCAGGATAAACTAAGGAGAACTGGTCGATGTTTACCACTGTTTAATTAAAATGAACAGTGTGTATGTGATCTGAACATGTGATTGTGCGACACTCCCTGCAGGGGTGGTCCTCCGGGTGGACAGTGGGTGCCTGAGTTGGACAGAGCCAACTCAAGAACCCTGCTCGGTCCTCACAAATCTACAGTACAGCCATGGCCCACAGATTTTGCTTGCATTCCATCAGAAACTTTGTGAGGTTTCTGTCGACTACGAGCTGTTTCTGTCGAATCTTCCATGAGAATCTTAAACTTGGGATGCTCTCTGTGATTGTGGTGACGTTTAGAAAACTCTCCTCTGAAGTGTGTGCTTGACCCCAAAGAGGACACGGCAGCCACTAAGCACTATCTCACATGCTGTTACTCATCACTTTCAGCTACCCAGAGTGCCGTCTGGGTTGCTGGCTGTGCCTTGAGTCAATCTCCCTGTATAGATACCTTTCCGCTTCCCACCTTGCCAATGGCAGCTGTTGATGAGGATAGGCTGGACTGTGACTTGCAGAAGTCCCTGGGTGCTGAAGGTCACTGTCTCCCTGTGCATTTCTGGCCTCTAGTTTTATGTCAGCATAAAAACCAGAGCTCTCATTTTAAGCAGGGAAAGAGATGGTTTAATCTGGAGCCTTACGAGAGACCATGGCCCTGGAACACAGATTTAGGTTACCCCAAATTCTATACTCCATGTGGAAGTAGTTTCATAAAGTTTTTATAGTCTTACAGAACAAAGAAAGTCATACACCAGAGCAATTTTGAAATACATTGGTGGTTTTTAAAATACACCCAGAGAGACAAGTACAGTGAAATGAGGAGAGCCATTTCATAGGCCCAAGGTGCTAACTGATGGCTTCCTCAGCTCTTGGATTGGGGGAAGGGAGTGTCCTCCTAAGGACTAGCTTCTGATAGGTTTTACTTGTTCTCACAAGGGGGTGGCTCAGACACAGAGTGAGTAGGGCAGGGCAGGGCAGTTCCAGAAGCTAGCCCAGGATAAAGTAATGACCCTCTGAACTACAAGCTTCCAATCTCTCCCCGGTACTGAGATTCCAGTGGGCTCCTCAATCTCTGCAGAGCCAGACTCCTTTAGGGGCTTATTTTCAGGATTTCTTGTTCACCCCGAAGGACCTCCTGTGCCCCCAGCACACTCTGTGTCCGTGGGAACCGGCTGCCCAGCATCATGTCTGCTGTGCGCTAATACTGGTGAAAGCGTTACCCTCGGCTGAAACCAGCTTTGAGGCAGCCATAGTCACCCACCCTGGTGCTCTGTTCGGGTGTTTTCATCTCCGGTCATGTCCACATCAGGGAAATAGGAAATTCTCTGCTGGCACCACGTGGGCCACCAGTGGATTTGTTCACCAGTTTCAAGAAGCAGTCAGGGTTATTGGGGTTACTTAGAGGGTGCCATGTGCTCTAACAAAGGATCCAGGAGGAGCAGAACATGGAAACTATGTCAGAAGCCATGAAGACTGACTACATTTTAAAAATCCAACAACAGGCTTTAGAGTAAGTCACTCTCCCGGGAAGCCCAGTGGGTGGTCATCTCAAAGAGCTGACTGTGGGGACAGAGGGAGGACACAGCACATCAGGATGTGAACTCAGCCTGGGCAGCACTTAGGAATCACGAGTGTGGGGTGGAGATAAGGCTCAGTGGTTAACAGCATCGACTAGCTGCTCTTTCGGAGGACCCAGGTTCAATTCCTAGTCCCCATCCAGCGGCTCACGACCATCTGTAACTCCAGTCCCAGGGAATTCCAATACCGTCCTGTGGTCTCTGAGGGCACAGCCTGCATGGGGTACACAGACATGCATGTCAGCAAAGTGCCCACACATAAAAACAAAGAGGAACAGAAGAAGCATAAATGTAATCACAGAGCCCTCTTGGCTCTGTGCCCACTTGTGGACCTGATTTAAATCCACTGCTGGTCGAAATGGGGCCTCTCTGTCTATAGGAGAAAAAAATAAGTCATCATGAATAAAAATTCCAAGACCACTTTTAGAAATTGAATTAGGTAAACAATCCAAAAAGCATCAGAAGGATTTATGAACCAAGATGTTTATCATAGCTGTTATTTGTATTTATAAAAACTTGGAGGGGGAGGCAAAAATTATAGGCGAAAGGGCTTGGTTGAATTATTTATCTGTTAAGATTGTAGCTGCCTATTAAATCTTTTGCTGTGCATAAAACTGCCAGCGGTAAGAACACACTGTGGGTAGGCTAGTTCATGGCACAGGCACATGTTGGGAGATTCTCCCCATGAGTGACCGCCGTGTTCTGTCTCAGGAAGCTGTCTCATGTGTCCCATGTTCCCTGAAGTAGGGAATTAGACTGAAAATCGAAGGCACAGGGGCAACAGAATTTGTCTTTGATGCCTGCTTCTGAGAGATTTTCTCACATAGGCTGGGCCTGGTGGGGCTGCTGGCAGTTGAGAGGTGTTTCATTATAAATTGATTCTCATGGGGGAAAGAATCCACGGGAGACTTTGTTTGAAATCCTGCCAGCGGCGCTCTTGGAGGACGGTCCGCACACACAGGAAGCCGCGCCAGAGCAGTTCACGGTGTCAGACTTTCATGGCCACCTTGGTGGACAGAACAAGCGAGTGTAGAGGATACAGTGGGGAAAAAAAGTGCTGGGGACAAGGCTCTACCACTTCTCAATAATGCCCTGGAATTTTCAGTCCATCCCATGGGTCAGTCATGGGATGAAGCGAACACCCCAATGATCCAGCTACACACACCTTTTGGGGAAGCCTTCAGGTGTACACCACAAGGACCACACTCTGAGAAGGGCCAGCCTGAAGGGGCCGGTCTGGCTCTTTATCCCTGCTGAGCCAGGAGACAAGGCAGGGCTGGACCTATCACTCAGAGCCTGGTGTTTTTTCACTGCCTCTTGGGAGAATCCTGGTACAAACAGATCTGAGGAGCAGCCTTTTAGGTGTGTTTACAGTCAACAACAGGGGTGCCCCAGGATCTTGTAGCAGAAATGATGAGGCCAGCTTAGACTTCAGTGATGGGGTATCACCCACAAGGGAGGTAGCCCAGGGCCCTCTGATTTACACGTTCTCAGAGGGCCCCTTGTGCCAATCTGTGGGTTCTGCCGCTGGGTCCTCATCCCATCTACCCCTTGTAGTGACAATTTTGGAATTTTGGTTTCTTTGTTAAAAAACATGGAAATATTATAAGAATATGTTTTCGTTTTAATCCCAGGTGTGAGGCCATGGGACAGCTTTGCAGCAGCTGACTGATTTACCTCGTTTCTAGCAGAGGTGTGATTTTCTATGACTATGATTTTCTAGCAGAGGTGTGATTTTCTATGACTATGATTTTCTAGCAGAGGTGTGATTTTGCCAGCTGCAACAGTCTGCAATTGTGTGACTTTAGGAAATTTTAAGGAATTTGTGGAATTCTGGAGACTTTTCAGAGGGTATATGTTGGTACTGTCAACTACCAGAACTTGTGAAATTAATAATATTTAAGATTTATTCATATAATTATTAAGGCATATGTAAAGGAATTGATTGTTCTTTTAATATTAATAATGCTGGTTACTAATACATTGGCAGTTATTCCTTAACCTGCTATTTTATAAATAAAGGACACAAAAACTTGTTAGATTTATAGTAAGCTTTAAAACACTAGGACTGGGCAGGTATCAACCCGCTAAGCTCTCTTGTCTGCTTCTCATCCAAGATCCCTGTAAGTACTCGCTGTTTCTCTCCTTCAGGCCAGTCCTCAGAGCAAGCTGCTCTTGGCCATGTACTCTGGTTACACTAACCCAGGACAACCTGCTCCTTTCTTCCTCCTTCCTCCCTCTCCTCATGGTTCTTTTGCCACCCCAAAGCCCAGGAACTTTAGTTCAGCCTATGTTTCTCTGCCCAGCCCAGGCTGTAGGCAACTTTATTAGCCAATCAGGGAGGATTCCGGAGGCAATGATCACACAACGTCATTTTGGATCCGTGAGAATTTGCTTGTAGGACAGTAAGGATCTTGGGGGCAAGCAATTAACATTTGACTACATAGTCGCTCCAGATCAACACCAACAGGTATGTAAATGCTAGGGCTCCAAGAGATGGGGTGGGTTGTTGGTTGGTTGGTGCTTGCTGTTGGTTGAGGTTTGATAAATAGTTGTAGGCAAAGACGAAACAAGAGGAGGAAGAAATTAGCTATTTTGATGGTGATCAAACTTGACACCCTAATCAGCAGGAAGTAGTCTAATGATGATGTCCCTTCCCCTCTCTAACCCCCGACTTTATTCAGGGATCGCCTTCCTTTACTCTCTATCCTTTTTTCTCTCATATCTAGTGTTAAGAGGGTTGGTTAAAAGGGAAGAAGAAACGGGGTGGAGAAGAGTGGAAGAAAGGAGAACCCACAAAGGAGCCACAATCCCCCTACTCTCCCCATCTGGCAGCCCCTCTACCCACCCCCTCCCCACTTGTGTCCTTCTCTGTATGACCTCCCACTCACCCCCCCATGTCCTTTCTCCTCTTCCCCTGCCCCATTCTACAGGAGAGGCTTAGTTTACCGGAGCAAGCCATGAAAGGCACCTACACATCCACCCTGGCCTTGCTGTCTGGACCTCATATTACATCCTTCCATTCTTCCCATTCGCCCAGAGACAACTGGATTAACTAAATTCATGTAAGATATGGAAATTCACACAACATAACTGTTAGCCTTCATGCATTTTCTCAGTTACGCATCCACAGAAAGATAGTCGGGTAAGGTTTTTACCATTTCTAGGATATTTAAATATGATTTTCTTGTAAAAATGTTAGAAGTCAGTATTTCCTTTTAAAAAATACTTAGAAATGCTTGTGCTGGAACGCGTACAAGCCACGCAACCTGGGCTGTTATCAGCCATGTTTCTGCCTGTTTAGCTGAAGTCATTTGGTGCCTATGGAGGCTCTTTTTCGTCAAGCTCTTGGCAACAGTATTCATTCATTTTATCGGCACCATCTGGAGCTCTGAGATGCAATTTTTTATTTATCAATCAAGTAGACCATGAAATGTATTTAAGGTGCAATATTAAATTCCCCCAGGTTTTGAAGGCCTGATTCTCTAGGAGATTTCCCTCTGCTCTAGCCTGAACACTTGAGTCATGCATATTTTGTGGTTATTTTTCCTTCTTTACTGTAATAAGCAGACACTGAGTGGCTCCACGCTTCTGAGGAACACAGTGTGTGCCAGCATTTTGTGGTGGCCTCTGTCTGGGCAAGCATCCCTGTGAGTTCTTGCCTTACACTTGGGGGAGGGGTGGTCTTCTGATGTAAGCACAGTGGGGGGCAGCCTTGCCTTCTGCATGGGGACTCTATGTTCACGGTCAGCAAAGGGGTCCCCAAGTCTTCTTGCCATCAGACCTGATCGAGGGCAGCTCATACTTGTGCAAAGTGGCCTTCTCTCAGTTGGGAGTGAGAAGCCAGGTGCTGGTCAAGTCCCTTTCTGGGGCACTGAGCCTGGCAGAGAAGCTACATGGCCATGGGCAGCTGTGAATGCAGCCTAACGTGACACCGTACGCAGACTTGAGGGTACAAGTCAGCACGTTTGAACTTTGCAGACGACAATGCCATGCTGCATGTCTGCCAGAGTGTTCCAGGGGGTCGGTGAGCATTTCACTTCTTCCAACTGTTTGAGCATCTACTATAAAACTCCAGGTCGCCTGCTCCACACCACGAGCCACATCTAGTTCCACTCAGCCACGAGCTTAAAGCTAACCAGCCTAGTCTGCCAAGCGGACACAGCATCAAACTGTGCTGTAAATTCCCATCTCAGTGGAGCTTCCGGACCTCCCAGTGGATGATGGCTAATGCAAAAACTGGTCACAGTGCAGAAAATAAATGTCATTGGAGTGCTCGACCTCAAATCAGACATCTGTATCACATACCTTCCCCAAGGACCTCCCTCAGCGACCATCATGAGGGATGGAAAGACTGTAACAGTCAGAGCTTAGGAGGATCAGAGCAACCCAGTATCTTCTGGACACAACAGGCCCACTGCATGCATCAGCTCACAGCATCTGCGGCTGCCTGCACACGACCAAGCCAGTCAACCTTCCAGCCGGGAGTGGGGAGAGGTCCATCAGCCCTCACCCCAGCTGAGGAGCCGTGGACCATTGGTGGCTTCTAGGGGAGGGTCAGGTAGTTCTCTTTTCTTTACATTTCAGTTTATGTGTATGGATGTTTTATTTGCACTCATGTATGTGTACTGTTTATGTGTCTAGTGGCCGTGGAGGCCAAAAGAGAGGATCAGATCTCCTGGAACGTTGAGTTATAGGTGGTTGTGAGATGCCGTATGGGTGCCAGAAATCAAACTCAGATCTCTGAAAGAGTAGCCCTCAACAGCTGAGCCATCTCTCTAGCCCCAAGAAAGTCAATTTTCTTTAAAGAACCTTGGTAGGTTCTCCACATTCTACTCCTGAGTGGCATGCAGAGGTGTACGGCCAGCACAGATTGGAGTCAATGGAATATCAGGAAAAAGAAAAAAAAGGATACAAAGTTGGTGGAGGGATGAGTAGATGGGGGTGAATCTGGGAAGAGTTAGGAGTGGGAGGTGAATATGACTAAAAAATATTGTATGAAGTTCTCAAAGAATTAATCAAATTATTATTATTATTTATTATTATTATTATTATTATTATTTTAAAAGCCTAGAGTCTCAGACACTTCCCAACACTAGCCGGCAGTGGAAATACGTACGTGTGCCTGTTCAGTAAATCTTCCTCCAAGCAGCTTTCCCCACTATAGATATGGATAAGGGTGACACCCTCTAAGCTGGAGGCTCTTTCAGCTGAGGATGTCCTATGTGTCCCTGGAGCCAGTAGGCATGCACTTGTCTGTACCAGCATTAACCCCTGGGAATGGGGCCTTACCTGAGTTGCCTCAGCATGTGCCCAGAAGACTTGGCCAGACTGTGCTACTCTGGGTTTCCTGCAGGAGAATAAGGGCAGAACCCTCTATACTGTACTGCTCGGGGTCTCCCACAGAATAGAGCAAGGGTGGCACCCTCCCCACTGTGCTGCTCAGGGTCTCCAACAGCATTGAGCAAGGACAGACACCTCTGCCCTGAGGCTGGCTCTTTCCAGATCTGAATGAAAGCAGAGACCCTGGTCCATGCCGTTTCACTTCTCCAAACAGCTTCCCAAGCTGAGGTGCTCCTTTCTGGGTTCATGGTGTCCTCACAGGGCACCTGTTCCTTAACTTTCTGCACTAGCACAGTGCAGCTTCTTCATCATGGTGTCAGGAGGCTGACTCTGCACAGCTGCCGGACACTGATGCACTGAGCTCTGGTGACACTGCCGCTCAGACACCAGGAAGTAGGCCTCGGGTGTGACGGATCTCTCCACTTTCTCTTAAACCATTTGGAACCACTCTGGAAGAAAGAGGACGGAGGATGTGCAGCTCACTTCCAGGCGATTGCTCCTGCTTGCTTGTGAAAGCTGTGGTATGTGCAGTGGCCTCACACTGCACAGCAAACAACAGAAGCAGCAGACAGAGCGTGCACCTCAGCGAGCCACAGCCACCCAATGCCTTTGCTGGACACCTGGGACGTCCCTCCCTCTTCTGTGCCAGTGGAGAGAGCATTCCCCGTGCCGTGGCCTGGAGGCCCACCTGGCACCTGGACACCACTGCTCCGTGGCAGCTGCTTGGCTTTCCTCAGTTCGTGCAGGCACTTCCTACCCTGGGCAACATTCATTCTTCCAGTAGCCTTGACCCTTGAAGGGACAAAACTAAGTAAAACCCGGTGCCGGAAAAGATGCCCAGGATCATGTCAGAGAAGGACCCTAACCCCACTCACCCTGGAAACTGAGCAGCTGGCTGTGACAGACGTGGACATCAAGGTCCTGCTAAGAAGCCAGCTTAGAGAACATGGAGTCCCAGTCTGTGTGCGTGGAAGACAGTGGGCAGTTTCATTCAAAACTACACTATGCCCGTACTGCCCAGAAGTCCTTGGCACCTCCCCAAAGGAGCTGAGAACTCAGAGCCACAGGAAACCTGCATGTGGGTGTTCTTCCCAAGCCCTGGAAATGTGGAAGTTCTCAGTGTGCACCCACATGAAGTAGTCAGCGAACACTCAATCTAGCCATTCAGACAATGAATGGAATGTCATCCAGGGAGAGAAAGGACATGGGAACCAACCCTAAACACACCCTGCTGAGCAAAAGAAGCCAGATGAAGGCTCTGCTGGGGGATCTGCTGTGTTACAGCATGGCGAAGAAGACCATGGAGACAGCGGGAATGTCAGCACTGCCTGGGAAAGGTGGTGACAAGTGCAGAGGATTTGATTTGGGTATGTTTTGAGAGAGGTCTGAGGCTGGCCTCACAAGTTCAGCTCTACCTCCAAAGTTTAGCACAATGTCCAGATTATAGGATTTTTAAGGCAGTGAAACCAATGCTACTTTAATGATGGATGGACAATGGTATGTACATATCAAGGTCTATAGAATTTCATGTTATGAACAGTAACTAAAGCATCAGGAGAGATCCAAGGAGTCCTGGAAGGAATGAGGTCTATGACAGAGAATCTGCTGCACTGCAAATGTACTAAGGCCTTCCCCAAAGGACAGGATTTTCAGGACCAACATTGGAAACTGAACCAAGCAGAGGCCAGAGAAAGGGACAGATGGAGCCATTTATGAGGCTTGGGCTAGGTGAGTTCTGTCCCTTGAGAGCACAGGTTCACCTGCTGACCCTGCCACATATCCACTAACCATGCTCTTCTAAGTGACAAGTGGCAGGGGAGGCGCCCCTTTCTCACCAACATAGGAGGCCACAGGAAAGCAAGGTCAAAGGCTGATATTGGCAAGATCTGGAGTCATTGTGGCAACTCACTTCAGCTCAGTACAGAGCTGATGTCGCCTTCAGAAACCTGGGAGAGCCCTAGTGTACATCATTGTCTCCTCCTGACAGCTGGCTGGGCCTGTTAGCCCAGCACCAAGGGGTCTGCCTGCTAACCCCTCTTGTCTAACACTCCCTCCAGTGAAAGATCCAGGCTCCCCAGAGAACTGGCTGGATCTATGATGAGGGCAGGAAACACAGACAATGACCCAGCATCTCGTGGTGCCAGAGAATCAGGAAGTATAAAAAATATCCCAAACCCACAATGACGGGGCAGCTCAGAGGGGTGCAGGCGCCTAGCAAGAGCCCAGTTAGCCAATACCGGAACAATGAGCACCGGAATAGGTTGGGTGAATCTTGATGCAAAGTACAAAATACCCATGAGTACACACTGACGTCAGTGACAGAAAAAAAAAAAAAAAAAAAAAACCAGTCCTGCTGGGAAGATGAGGCAAGCGCCCTCTGCGGAAGCTCCTTGCTCATCTAGCAGGGCCTGGCCCCTACTTCCTCAGGGTGGGTCACTGAAACAGGGGGCTGGAGGGGCCAGTATGCAGAGGAGGAAAGCTACTCTCTCAGGGGCTGGAGGGACCTGTCACACACCCCTGAAGAGCCACCTTGTAAGTCTTTGGGTTCAATGGACATTATCCCATTCACACCCAGCACTGTGGCAGATGTGTAGGCTGTCATAGGGGCAGGCAGGGCAGCATGGGAAGGCTCTTGCCGGGCATGGTTCTGCTTTTGCCTGTTTTGCTGCATCAACCATGGCTCCACAGTTCTGAGGGCCTGGCTTCCTCCAGCGAGGAAGACGATTCTTAATGTTTTCCATAATAAAACTATTAGTTGTTTAGGAAAAGCTGGACACTTTGTCTAAGTCTTGATGTGTTTTATATGGCAAGTAACTCAAAACCATTTATCTTGACACCAGGAAAAGCACCCTAACTGTTCTTTCTTACCCATGTATCTGTTGGGGACAGGAGGTGTCTTTTGCAATGCCGTCCCCAATTCTGGTTGTGTGCAAAAGCTCTGGATTTGAGCTAAGCTGAATGTGGGATCCTGCTGAAATTTCACCAGGTGAACCAGATGGCCTTCCGGGTGGCACTGCCCACGGCCAGCTCAGGCAAAGGGAGCCCTGGCTGCCTTGCTCCATTTGCTGTCAGTTGGCTATGTAGGTCAGCTCTCCATGGATCTCAGGACTGCATCAGAATAGATAGATGACTTTGACTTCCAACTTGAAACCTTATGTGCCGATCACTTAACCGAAGCCTTCTCTTAAGAATTCACACACATCCGGAGAAGCGTCTGCAGTGACACTTAGTCTAGTTCCGTGCGTGTTGTTATAAATGTCAAAGTGGCCACAGGATGGCATCGTGTACCCCCTGTGCCAGTGCTGTACGGGGCAGGTGTCAGCGGTGGGTTTGTGGGCATGGCAGCGCTTGCCCTCCTGTGGACCTGCTCTGTCTGTGACTTGACTGTTGTGCAACCCAAAAGCTCAGGCAGCGTTACACCTGAGAGGTGGACCCTCTTGTTTTGGGGGGTTGTAAGCCTCCGCCCACCCACCTCATGGACAGTGGTCCAACGGGATGTCTAGGAGACTCTGGGATGTACGGGGTATGGAGATGGCATCCACCACAGCCTTCCGGTGTGGCGCTCTCATCACAGCAGCTTTCAAGAGGCTGATGCAGGAGGACTGCCATGAGTCTGAGGCCAGTCAGGGCCACAGAGTGAGGCCCTTTCTCAAAAACCAGAGCAAATAACAGGCAGATGACGACCTTTGCAGCCGTAGCCGTGGGGTGGCTTAGGAATGTGGGATCTGGTCCCAGCCCTCTCGGCCGCCCCCCACCCCAGGAAAGGCTTCTGACTGTGAGGTGAGGTGAGCTGGGGTCTGATCAGCCTCATTAGGAATCCCACGGCCTATGCCCTGGACAGAGCTGGCTCCACCCTAGGGCCTCCTCTCACAATCATTTGGCCGCAGTCGATCCTTCTGCCTGTCTGGGCTCCACTTCCCATCTTATGGTCCAGACAGCAGGTCCAACCCAGTGTCTGTCCAGGTGGGGGAAGCTGCTGGTCAGCCCCAAGGAGGCCTCTAAGGCAGAGTGCCGAGAAATGCCCTCATCTGTGCATCAGGAGAAGGGAGCTGCGTGCACCACGGACAGCCCTTCTGCCCACTCCGGCACGTTCAGTCCCCCCATTACTCACGATCGCACAGCTGCCACAGAGCTGCCTGCGGCCAGTGGCAGCTCACCTACCAGGCAGCTGGCTGCAGGCAGCTCTGTGGGCAGACTTCTCCAGACAAGGAAGGCAACTGTGCATGGAGAGGCTTTGGGGCCGCCCTCCCTAGAGACAGACACAGTGGCGGGAGGGTCAGCAGTGACCCTGTGGCTATGAGGACCAGCTGAACTGCTGCAGAGCCTGGGGAAGGGGCTGGGGTAAGCCTGGGGTCTGGGGGTGTCACTGAGATGCCCTGCCGGCTCCAGGCTAGCACTCCAAGCCACTGGCACAAGACAGAACATCTGCTGTAGAAAGCTGTGCTCAGGATTAAACTTCCTACTGTCAGACCTCTCCAGGCGGGCAGCTTCATCCTCCATGACAGGGCTTCCTTCCTGAGAGCTCTCTGAGTCACCACCCATGCAGAGGTATGTGACAGTTCTGGCCACTGAAACGCTCATGAGGTGATAGTAGCCACAGCCCCAGCTCGGAAAGAAGCCTGGTGACCAGAACACAGGGTAATAGAGAAACTCTTACCTGCAAAGTCCTGTCCCCGACCAGATGCAGTGCTCCTTGCAGCCAGTAGGTGGCAGTGTTCCTTGCCTTCTGAAATGAAACCCACTGTCAGAAATTCTGCCAACAATCTAGAATCGCTTGGGAAGAGTCTCAAGGCGAGAATGTCTATGGGAGGTTGCCTTGATCACTCTAAATGATGAAATAGAGCAAATCCAACAGTGGGAGACATTCCCTGGGTCTGGGTCCTGAATTGTGCATATGGACAGGGAAAGCAAGTGTCTGGAACACTGTGTGTGTTTATTTCTCTCTGCTCTTTGTGGTGGGTGCATCTAACTGCATCAGGTACCTGCCTTGACTTTCCCCTCAATGATGGGCTATGTAACCCGGAATTAAGCCAAATAAACCTCCTTTCCCTTGAAGCTGCTTTTGCTCGGCAACTGGAAGAGAAACAGGACACCGTATTCAGGATATACACTAAGTCACACACCTGAGCAGATGTTACGCCGCCCTGCGTTCCAAAGAAGCAAGACATGGAGCAGTTCCCATCACGCTCAGGGCTGGACATGCTCCTGGGAAAGGGGCAGAAGCCTTCATCTCGTGATCACAGGCATCCACGTGTGAGTGTCGTGGATGCCCAGGTGTGTACCTCAGTCACTGTGACACCATGACAGCGTGGATGAAGCTGTGAGTCCTTGGCTTCCAGCTCAGCACAGCATGACATCACCTGTGCTCCTTAAAGCTCTGTGGACACCCTCTGCTCACCTGGGGGCGGGCGGTGGAGCTTGAGTGGCACTCTGGCTTCTGCTCACCTGGTACCCTCTGCTATAAGCTGCTTTATCCCAAAGTGCTCACTAGGGGGGCAGAGCAGCCACGGCCAGCCATGGCTTCAGCATCAGGCTGGAAAGCCCAGTCTCAGGGGAGATCTCTGAAGGTGCTGTTATTCATGTGCGCGCCAAGCTCAGGCTTCTCAGACAAGGACCCTGGAGAAAAGTGCAAGATGAGGCGAATTTTCACATTGAGTCTGTGTATGCTTGCACGCCACCCCCAGAGCTGATGGTACCTGTGCAGTCAGCTGTAGAGCCAGGGCTGGAAGGACCCACCTGCCAGGTGCACAGACAGAGTGGGCAGGGGCACTGAGGGGCAGGCTGAAGTCTGAGGTGCTCACTGCTCAGTGCTCAGGTTGGTCCTACCTGCGTTTCTAGTCTCTTCCCTGGAAAGGAAAGGTAAAGGCCCCAAAGAGGCCTGCGATGGCCTCAGAGTTGTGCTGATACTTTAAGGGTGGGCTTTCCCATCAGAGTGACCATGTGTGCCATCCTTCCTCCGGAGAGAAGGGGCTGGCGTTGTGCTCCGGACCCTTATCTTTGTCCATCTGTGTTTGTGGAAGTCTCAGAGCTTTTGATGGCTGTACTCATTGTCCCTTTCCCTCCCCACACTTTGATGTGAACAGCTGGAATCTATGTGGGTGACACCTTGCTTTGACTAAATTCAAGACCCTCCTGCATGTGTCCCGTCCACTATGTGTGTCTAAGATTCACTTCAGGATATAATGACAGGACTCCGTTCTGGAGTGATCCGTGCTAGACCCACAGGGGTGTAATTACAGCGCAGCCTTGGTAGTCAGCACTCTGCGTTAGCTTGTCTCAAGCCCTGTGCTGATTGATATATGTGCTTTATCTCAGGGAATAAACACCACGGACATGTCCTGGCAACAGACCCTGGCACACCAGGTCCTGTTTCATGCTGAGGCCCCAGAGGCAGGCAGAGAGAGATCCGTGCCTGCTCTCCAGGCCTTCAAGACTCCTCTGAGAGGAAAACGGACCCGAGGTTACCTGGAGGTCATGGTTTCCTCTGAAACAGAGGAACCGGCAGCACAATGAACTTTGTTATCTTGGGAATTCTTTTGAATGAGCTCTCCAAAGACCTGGAAGCCAGCTATATTGGCAGTTCTCTAAGAAAAGCTACAGAGGAGGCATAAGTGTGGCTTTCCAGATGGTGGGGAGGCCTACTTGTCCCTCTGTCATTTAATGTGATGCCCCAGAATTCAGCAATGGGGAACAGAAGGCATGCCAGGACCTTATGTCCCAGAGGCCTAGTCTATTTGTGCAGCTGTGATAAAATGCCACAAGCAGGACACTTTATAAAGAGCGGAAGTCTCTGTCCCCACAGTTCTAGAGGCCAGGCAGTCTGAGGTCAAGGTGCCAACACTAAGTGGGAACCTCATTGAGTCGCACCCCCACTCCCCAACCTCACTCCCACTTAAGGCAGAAAGTGAGCCGGGAGAAGCAGCAAGGGAAGAAACTTCATCTCACGAGCAGAGCAGTGCCTGTGCTGCTACCTGGAATACTGACTGTCTCAGGAAAACCCAGGGGTCTGGGACAACTAAACCAGTTCTCAGAAAGGTAGAGTCAAGCAAAAGACTTGATCTGAATTCTGATTTTGCTGCATGGCCGAGGCAGGGTAGGTTTTCTGAGGACCTCCACAGGATTGAATGGAGGACTTGGAATCTCAGAATGATCCTACAGGCCTGTCCTTTGGCCCAGGTCCACCGGCTCCATGGAAGGAGGACAGCTCTCGTAGACAGTGTCAGAAAAACTGGGTGTCTAGATGTGGCTAGGCAAGAAGTGATGTTTTAGTTTAAATGGATTCCATAGTTGAACACAAGATGCAAAGCCAAAAAACCTTTAGGAAAAGGAGTGAGTGGTATTTACAACCTGGAATTGAGCCAATTCTTCCATGTAATGCCAAAAGCGCCCGTTAAAGAAAACCTCTATACATTTGACCTTATCAAATCTAAAAACTTGTGCTCTGGGGCAGCCATGTTAGACTCAAAAGACAAGTGTCAGACTGGGAGGAAAGATGCACAAACCACACATCTGGTGAGGAACTAGGCAGCCGCAAACTCAGCCATAGAAACAGACAGCCCGTGGGTGGCGTCAGCCCCCGGGCTCGCTGCTCCGATGGTGAGGTACACAGATCACCAGTCCTCACCCAGCGGAATAGCTAAGACCTGAAAGAGTGGTCATCCAAATGCCAGGGGCCTGGAGAGCCAGGCTCACGTGCATGCCGGTGCATATGTCCATATTAGAAAACAGTCTGGCGACTTCCAAGAGGAAACGTGAAGGTCTCCTGGAACCTGCGGAGGTCACATCCCTGGGGATTCACTGTGAGAGGTGGATGGGTGTGCCTCATCACCCAGCTGCAGATGTTTGTATTAGCTTTAGCTATTAAACTAAAACCTGTGAAGAAACCATGCGGCTCTGTGAACAACTGGTTAGAGCATGTAGCATGTGCATATGGGACGGGGAACATGACTCAGCCACAGGAAGGAAGGAGCTGGGGTGCTCTCCCCCACTGGGGGCCTCTAGAAGTTCTTTAATAAAGAGCAGCCCCAAGGAGCCTGTGCCATCGGGCCCCTCTCACACAGTACTCTTCCGGTTGTACAATGCGACAGCACAGGCAGAGCTAGGGTCCTGCGCTGAGGGCGCGGGGAGGGGCTGGGACTGTCTAGGCAGCTCAGGATGCCATGGCTGTTCTGTGTCCACCATTCACTGTTTCTACTCCAAGGATTTGTTGTGATGTCGAGCTGAGGGTTGGGGAGCTGTTGGGGGGACACCCTTTCTCTTTCCACCCTCCTCCTGTCCCAATGGCATATCAACCTGGCATTATCTAAAAACACGCAAGGCTCTACCCTCTGCCAGCAATCCCACCCTGAAGTGCCGCCTGGGAGCGCTCCTGCACAGACTCCCTGAGATCGAAAGAGGCAGGTGACTCTCCTTTCAGATAGCCACGGTCTCCGCTGGCTTGTAAACACTGATTCCTGCTGTATAGGCATCCGGCTTGAGTGGGTGTCACGCCGGTTAACTCAAGTCTAGTGACCTTGATGTTGGCCTTTGAAAATATATCTTCCAAGTTAAGGCTTGACTAAATAAAATTCTAAGATTAAAGCGAATGTTTAAACATTCAAGCAGAGTGTAGGAAAGCAAAGGAAGGGGCAGAGATTGGAGAGTTTGAGGCCTTGGCTTCCGGGTGGCCAGCTGCAGTGGCCCAGCTGGACTGTCCCATGTCACCGTTTCTGGAGACCCCAGTGTGACCCTGAGCATATTCTGTCTCCTTTGCTCCTGACCACTTCTACTTATAGGGGGAGAGGAAGTTTCATACTTGAAGAAACGGTCACCCAGCAGACCTCCTTTGCCTTGTCTAAAGGAGCAGCCTAAATAAGTTCTCTCTCCCCTCATCCTTGCCTTTTGTGGTGCGTTGTGTGTTTTGTTTGTTTTAGGGGACATATTTGGCGCAGTTGAAAACAAGCAATAACATAAAATACAAGTGTTCCACTGTCCCTGCGAGGCTTGCTGCCTAGAAGCTGTGTGTCCCAGAGTTACCTGAGCAGTGTGATGGCTGGGTGTGGCCATTGCACCGTGCCACTGTAACTGGTGAGGAGAACTAACCCGTGGCTTTGGGAACAGGACCCCAAGGCTGCCTGCATTTGTTTTCATCTTCTCTCCTACAAACTCCACCAGCTGATCCTGGCAGAGCGCTCCTATGAGGAGCACGGAGCCTTGGCAGGTCACAGTCTCAGAGGGCTTTGCTCCCTCCCCCCCAGGGGAGCGTGTTCACTGTAGGAGGTAAACCACCATCTTGCCTCTTCTAACCCCAGCCTTGTTTTGGACTCAGTATGATTTTTATGAATTTGAAAGGATGTTTCCAGGTTGATTTTCTATCGGTGTCTGGCAGAGGTCAATGGTGTGACCCTCAAATTCCAGAAAGGTGGCGTCCACAGCCTCCAGGCTCTGTCATATAGGTATTGGGCTCACCCTCACTTAAGGGGCTCACCCTCACTTAAGGAGCTCACCACAGGGAAGACAGATCTGTGCTGGCCATGGTCACCATGAGTTCTGAGTGGATACTGGGATAGGCTCTTCCCTCTCAAAGAGTCAAAACTGTGGACCTGCCCTGTACCGTGAACCCACAAAGAATGGGGGAAAGCCATAGAAAGAAGTTCCTGAATGTCCTTAGAAACAAAGGTCAGCGGCTGGAAAGACAGCGAAGACTCTTGCAGACAGCTGTCCTGCGGGTGTGGCCCTATCTTGACTCTGCTGGTTTCCAGCTTCCCTGGGGCAGCAGCTGTCCCCACCTCTGTATGACACATATGTCACTCAGGGCCTTCCTGTCAGAAGACCTGGATTTGGAGCCTTCCTTCTGGAAGGAGACTCTGTCAGACCCACACTCAGTGTCCTGCCTGCAACGTTCCCTGGAGGACTGGGACAACAGGCAGGAAGGCGAGAGGAACAGGCCCTGCAGCCTGACTCCCACTCCCACACTCTAGGTCCTGTGTGTGTGTGTACAAGTCTGCAGGCTTTCTGCGCGTCGTTTCCCCAGGAGCCCTAGGTCTGCCTTGAGACCTCTCCAGCCTGGAGTGCGAGCACCCGGATTTCTGCCTTGAGCCGAGCTGGTCTCTGTTCTGTTGTCAAGTGTGTTGAATTTTGATGCATCTGTCCCAGCACCAGGTAGACTGGACATGTAGTGCTGGGCCCCTGCCCACCTAGAAACTCCTGCCTCGTGGAGACAGCAGCAGGTCCTGCTCCTGCTCTGCCCACTGCATGCAGCCTCCCTTCTTTGGGAGCGAAAATGCTGCAAAGCTGCTCTTCTCCTCAGGCCTCTTCTGTCCCCTCTGGACCCTGCAGTTCGTCGCCTGGTGCTACAAACTACAGGCGCTTCTGCTTGCTGTTTTGTACAAGGAGAGGAACCACCTTGAATGTCCACAGCTGGCTCATTGCACCTCCACGGGAGCCTGTCCAGAGAGCTGGCCACCTGGGTCACTGTAAGAACCGCTTCCCTGGGTTGTCCCAGAGCCATGGAGATGGAGCCTCATCAGGGTAAGTCAGCTGTGGTGGCACGCGGGACCTTGTGTGGCCTGGGTGTCCAGCTTGTCTGGCCTGGGAAAGATGTCATGGCTTGATGATATGCCCCGTCCCTGAAGGTA